CTTTCCCTTCTCCCTTCCCTCCCCACCCCCAGTCATCTGGGCTGATTAAAATGCTCTAGAAAGAGTCTCCTTAATAGTCAAACTGTTGCAGTTAAACTGTCATTAATATGCCAATTCAGCTTATTAAGTTACAAGCTGGGGATAAAACACCTTTAAATAAGCAATGGTGTAACAAAAGCATCCCAATCAATCTATAGATGATACACCACCAGTCATTGTTCTCAACCACATCCTCCTGGCCTCTACAAACAGCAAAGTAAATGGGTCTCAGAGGAAGATTCATCCAGCATATTGGCTGATAGAAGCATTCTTAACATATAGGGTGTTGGATCCTGTATTGAGCTCTCCTTTTTGTCTATTGGGGTCTCAGTATATTGAACCTATTCAGTCTAATCTTCCTAAGACTTATTAGCCTCCAGCACTAGCTCTTTCTTTGGCTTATGTAGAGGGCAGGGCACAGTTGTGCCATATAGACTTAACAAATTCAGAGATTCACAGATCTTTTCTAAGCAACAAAACTTATGCATCTCTGAATTAATTAGTTTATAAGGTGCAACTGTGCCCTGCCTTCTGCTGACTTCAGACTAACATGACTAATTACCTCTCTGGCTTTTGTGGCACACTTCCTGGACATAAAGTTTGCTTGTTACCTACTTGTGCACCAGATGTACTGCAGACACTTGGGTAGCTCAGTTTCTTTTCCAGACACCATACCTTATGATGGTCTGTGGTTTACAGTTTACCTTTCCAGTGACATGTGATAGTTCAAATTCCTGACATAATTTTGTTTTCCTTTCTTTATCTCTTGTGATACCTAGATTTAAGTAAAAAGAACAAACCTCCTATATACTTTTTCTTAGCTCAGTTTCTCTAGCACTCTGGATCGTTCTTTGAGACTAGTTTAGAATCCTCTACGGTTCCTGTCGCTGGTAGGTGTTGTAAGGCTTCGGTCCTTCTTGGGTCGGTGTCTTGTTCCCTAGCGATATCAGGGTGAGACCGCACCCTGGGGCCACCTAGACGGTTACGGGTGCTGCCCCTACTCACCTGCTATGTCTTTGATGTTGATTGATCGGGAGGCAGTCCCCGTCGGTGGTCCAAAAGGGGGCTAGACCCTGGTCTTTCTTCATGGGGCTCCAAACCTCCCCTTTACCCCACCCTTACCACATCTGTGGCCTGGGAAGATGCTGCTCCCTGCAGTCTTCCTTGGAACGATCTCTTCTCATCCATGCTACCTGCCTCTACCTGGGTTGGGTCCTTCCAGCCATCATTTTTTCCCGGGTCAATCCCTGGCCTCCGGATCACCTTTGGGCAAACTAAACCTGCCCCAGCCTGGGATAACAGTAACTTAGAATAACTCTCAACAAAACAAAAGGTATTGGGCGTCTGCTGACGGGCGCCTAGGATACTGGCTCATAGGATCCCTCTGACTAGGAGCTAATCACTCCTGTTCTCACCACCTGGTGGTACTTGCAACTTCCCCATAGGGCTCTGATGCAGCTGCTGCCAGCTCTTCCCTCTTCACCGGGCTACCCGCGGGACTCAGCTGTCGCTCATCCCTCCCCGGTCGCAGTACCTGAGTGCTCTGCTGTTGTGGAGGCTCCACTCGGACCTGTCATAGAGAACTGCTTCTCTCTGCTGTAGCTCTCTGGTGACCCTTGGCTCACAGAGCCCGGATTCCTTGCTCCGTGAGCCAGGCTTTCCCGGCTAACACTAGGGCTTCTTTCCCTGTGATCGGGGCCGTGGCTGCCTGCGTCTCCCGACTAGCATGCCACACCTCTCCCTCTGCCCAGCTGACTCTTCTTCCAGCTGCTCTTTGAGCAGCCCACATTCCTCCGAGGCCCCGCCCCCGGGGCTCGCCAATTCGCAGGCTCAGGCAGCTCCAGAACTGCCGAGCCTGCACCGGCATTTCTCTGAAGCTGCCACTTGTCTCCGCCTCTGTGGTAAGTATCGGGGCTCGTCGGGAGGTATCTGGGACTATGTTGGGGAGGCTTTTGCCTCTCCTTTCTCAGTTCCCTTCCTACATATAGCTGCTGCTTCAAGATACGAAGTTTGTCTTCTGCTCTCTCTGCCAGAATGGCCAGTAAGAAGTACTTCCTTTTATAACTCCCAAACCAAATTAGGAGTTATAATAATAATAATAATAATTGTAACAGCAACAGTTATTACAGTCATTTATCACAGATTTTACTCTTGTAGGACACAGCTCCGTACTCCTGTAAGTAGGCTGTTGCCACCAGGTGATGGGCAAGCCAGTGATAGCCTGTTTGCATTAAGCAAACAGTTACCTCAGGATGCAGTTGACTATTTTTTGCAGAGTAACTTTAGACTCTTATAATGAGGCTGTGTGTCATATCTCCGGTCTATTTTTCTAGGGAAAAAAAAAATTTCTGCATAGGAATTATGTCATTTGTAACCACTGCTTGGCAGCTGGTCCTGTTCAGTTTCATAGGCAATCAGACCTAACCAGGTGATATGTTGCTTAGTTACCAGCCCAACCATATAGAATCAATTTTCTCAGTTTGGCCACCTCATTTATTATGTCCATTAAGTTGCTCAGGCACACCTTTTCAAACATTAGTGAATCTAGTCCAAGTCAGATGGGCAGGTGCCACTCCCCTGTATATAAATCAAAACACAATAAAAGGTTGTTGTAAGACATGGCCAATTCATAAAATTGAGCTGGATTGCAGTAGTTGTACCTAGATCCCCTAGGTCTTCACATGGGAACTTTAAGAATGGAGGTAGAAAATGGGAGATCCCAGAAGATTTTCTCCAGTTTGTCCTCATGTTTAAAAAAATACCTTACATTCTTATTTGTACCTCATTCTGATGTTTTAGCATATACGTTCCAAGGAAACATCCTTTTAGAAATGATTTGTTTCAAGATTGACTGTTGAAAGAGCAACTTTCTCCTTTGTTTAAAGGAAATGGCTAATTTGGGCACAGTACCCACAACACACATACATAAATACTGAACTTTATACACAAATAGTTCTTTTAGTCAGTTGGCCTATTCACTTGCAAGTATGGGTCTTAGGACTGATATAGGTTTAGGTTGTATTTTTGAAAAAATAATCTACATTGCTTAACAGAATACTTTACGGGATAATCTGTTCTACAGTTACAAGACCAGAATTGAAGTTAAGTGCAGTTAGTATAAACTGAAATACATATAATGGTCCAAATTCATCACTAGTACAAGAAAGGTGCCTTGCATTGCCTGCTATATTTTTTCTGTTCCAGGTGGAAGTAGATTCAGTGATGGCTTCTTTACAACAAAAAAATTCAGGTACCATTCAAATACATTTTTCAATTTTTTGTACTCTTCTTATTCATGATTTCTGGTATATAAAACGTAGCTTATATAGACATTTAAAAAACTTGATCTAAATTAACAACAAATGAGTTGACTCAGTCTGCTGGCTAGAAGCTGGCTATAGAGAAAAAATAAAACTAACTGGTTTATTTTCATTATCCCAACTGATAGAAATTCAGGAAGTAAGCAAAATTTGCATTGGTAAATTATTATCATTATTTGACAGTGTCTGTTTAATGCTGTTCCATCATTTGGTGGTTGGGGAGATAAGGAGTAGTAGAATCTTCTCTGCGAGTCTTAATCTAGAAGCAAATAGGGAATTAGTTCTTTACTTGGATTTTTGTGTGGAAATGGGTACACCTGACCAACAAACAAACAAAACACTGTAGTGACACTCACATGGCTTTTTATATGTCCAGGTATTAGTTGGAGATTTATTTTACCTAGAAGGATGCCTTTTGATGTAGAGAAGAAACTCTGTGCACTTTAATAGTAGCAGATAAATTGCTATCACTAAAAGAACAATGAATGGGTGGCACTGTACTTCAGGAGTAATTCCATGAAAGGAAAAGTGTGCGTTTTATTCTTCTTGTCAGGTATGTTACTCTGAAACAGAAAAACATAAAGGAATGGCAGTCTGTCTTGCTTTTTTTAAGGTTTCACTTTCATAGTTATCTGATTGCATTGCTTGTGCAAGCAAGTTTAGTGCGATTTGACAACCTCTGTTAAAAAAATGCTTATAAAAAGCTCAGTATTTAAAAACAGCATGTCTTTGTAATGCTAGAAATTGAGAATTAATAGTTTTTTAATGTGTGATGCTTTCATAAAGTAACAATGAAAGAAGCATTGGGAACTTGTATGCTCATAGTTTAAAGTTTGAATTGAGACAGCAGATGGAGCTGAAGGACCTATATTTCTAAGCCACTATAAGAAGGTTAGGTTACAGAAAAGTTGTAAGAAAAGGAAAGCACAGAGCTCTTGTTATGTTGTTTTGTTTAGAAAATCCCTGGAGAATACAGTGACATTGTCCTTCAAAAATTATTTCAGCTGTGTGTAGTACTATGAGGAGAAGGATTAGACTTATGTGGGAATTGTGAATTGAAATTATTTTGGTGGAGATTTATGTTTTAAAACCTAGGATTTAGTATTTACATAGTAAAAAACCCTTTGCCCTTTCAGAAATACCATATAGTTAATTAGGGTAGAATTTAGAAAATAGGTTTGTATTCCAAGTCCTTTTTAGCCAATTGAAAAAAAAATCAGGTAAATTTATTTTAAAAAATGAGTTTTACATTTTCTTTAAGTGGCAGAACCAATACAGTGTAGCCGTGTACTTTTATTAGGAGACTCCTAGGAAACCATACCTGAGGCTATAGAGCATTTCAGAGAGATCACAGAGTGCTAGGAATGGGGCCAGATATATTATTTATGTAATATCCTCTACATCTTTATCCATGGAATGCAAGTGTTATTGACTTTGGCAAGACTCTTTGATCTGCTCTCCTAGCCCAAAGAACTACATTTGGCAACTAACAAGAATGAAATAAATGAAAAAAATATACAGAAGATTTATGCTAAAGAACGGTAGAAGAAAAAACGCTAAATGGAAATAGAATTTAAAATTAGACTGAATATTATCAACTTCTATTAGAATATTTCCAAATAACCTTTCACTTCAGAAAACTATTGTTTCCACGTTTTTCTCATATAACTTAATATAATCAAATGTTATATTGCCAGATTTGTGCATATTTGCAGGGGGAAATAAAACTGATATTATTTTCATGGGGCAGGTGTATTCACATTTTTCATCTTCCTAGGTGTGTTACTTGAAGAGTTTTTAAACCTTATGACTACAAAGAAGTCGGCTCAGTTGTATCATAGTGAAATAAGACAGATATTCACAGCTTTTGACATGCAATGTAAGTGCTTCTTCCCCATGGAATATTTAAGAGATTTTGGAGCAAATGTACAAAATACAGCATTAATGCAAAATAAAATGCGCTTGGGAATATTTAGGGCACTGCACAAGTGAAGTAAGTTAATGATAGCATTACAGGTAGCTGATTAACAGAGGCAGGGACAGGAGGCAGTTGAGGCCAGTAGCAGGTTACAGGGGTGTATGTATTTCACTGGATGCTCTCTAGCTGATGAAGAAAGTTCTTTAACTTTTCATATGTGCTGCCCACTGTAACTACCTTTATGCAGTGGTGAGCTTCACTCTGCTTACAGGTGCTCCCTCATATACTGGTCTTCTATTCCACTCATGCACCCATGCCACTTACTTTGCAAGTTTTTCTCCAAAAGGTGGATATGGATCTTTTATCCCTCTCCTAACTGACCCATGGGTGAGAGCTAAAGCAGAAAGATGTTCTCTGGTTCATTCCAGTGCTAGGTGTGGTGGTTCTTCTTTTCTGATGGATAGATTCCTCCTTTTCTTCTCCTTATCAAAGAAAAGAGCTTGAGAACCAGCAAGGCAGTGGGCATATAATATACCCACGATCCTTTTCTACACTATCTTCCTACTTCAGTTGAAACAGGAGCATGATTCACAAAGTGAGTGGAGTATGAAGTATAGGAAAGAGCCAGTCAAGCATCCTCTGTAGCCTTTTCCTCTGAACTGCATGTAGTAGCTTTAGAAGTCACCTTCCCCGCAAGAGACTAAGTGCAACAGCACTTAATTTTGCCCATTATATCTGGGTTTTGCCCATGATATCTCCACTTTGCTTCTCACTGGGCGCATCTACACGTGACGCTATGTCACCATAGCAACGTATTACAGTGACATAGTATCCACAGGCATCTACATATGACCCGCAGCTACTTGGCCATACCAACATGCTCCCTAAGTATAGTGCGCCACTACAGCGAAGTAGCTGCTAAAATAACTGCACTACACATATGGTGCAGTATGGGCTGTTACTGTGCTGTGATTTAGTACTTCCAAAAGGGAAGAGACACGTGCAGAGATGCCAATCCTGTTTGAGTTAGCCTTCTTTTTCAATGGGATTAGGAATTGTAAATGGACATTCTTTTCTCTTAGATGATGTCCTAATGTTACATATTCAGATGTGGACTTCAAATGAGTTGTGAAGGGAAAATTCATTTAAATACAACTGGAGAGCAGTTGTTAATTAGGAAATATGGCAAGAAAAGCTGAAACGTTGAAAATAACTTGTTATATTTTAAAGTCTCTATTTGAAAGCTTCCCTGGTATGAATCTGTTTTTAAAAACTAATTCATTATAAAATAAGATAAATATGGCTGTTGCTGTTTCTTTGAATAAAGTTCTTAGTAGTAGGCAGTGAATTGCCAGTACAAAAATCACTTTTGGATTGTTCCTTATTCTAACCCCTCTATATGCATGCTGGTACTTTCTTAAAATATTTGGTTTGCAATTACAATAACAACTTCAAAGAATGCATTTAGAGCCTCTGAATCTACTGCATAGACATATAAATATATTTAATATTTAGTTTTTGAGCAGGTATAAAACTTTTTAACGTCTTTATTTTTTTCTCATTGAAAAAGGTAGAGGATTTCTGACTTTGGAAGATTTCAAAAAGGCCTTCGATTCAGTTGCTCCAAAATTACCCAAAAGAATCATAATTGAAGCCTTCAGGTAAGTCTAACAGGAAGATCTCAGTTCTCATCCTTATATAACAGTCTTATTTATGTATTTGAACTGAGTGAAAATTGTTCTAGAATGGTAAGTTATGTTTCAAAGCAAAGGCAACAAGCATCAACACTTGAATATCAAGAGTATCCTTGTATGTATAAGAAAACATTCAAGGAAAAGGGATGTTTCTGTGTTTTGAATATACTGTACAGTCTGCTTAAGTAGTATGAAATGTGGAAAAACAATTGGTAGCCTACGATGTCTCTTTAGAAGTCCAGAAATACTCACTTTTGCATTATTCTGACTTGGAAACTGAGAGGAGGATTTCAGAGCTATCACAAGGGACTGTAGGAAAAAAAATTAAGTCTAAAAATATCTTACAAGCCAAAAGTTTAATTTACAAAGGTGACTTGGGTAATTTGGAAACTTTTCATTCTAAATATGCCCTCATAATTCAAAAGTATTTAAGGAATTCATATTTTAGGAGAGGCATCTCTTCTGTTCACTTCGACTGCACGTTTTGAATGATTTGGAAATGTCTGCTGCTCTTTGTGACTCGTCACACAATCCGAGTCCCAAGATTACATTCTAGTGTTATGAAAATGGACTTTTCTTTGAACTAATATAGTTCTCTATATAGTTCATTCCTAACTTCCTCCCCCCACCAAAAATTAATAAAAATGTTGCAGTAATAGTAGTATGCATTATATTGAGCATTAATGAATTTCCCATGTTTTCTTGCATACTCTCCCCCCTGAATAATGCACATATCTTGCTTTTGGGAAACAGAATGAAGAAAAAAAGATCTTTTCTTGAAAATTCCAGCAAGTATAGAATTTCACAAGGAAAACAGATAACTGCAGAAGGGGGTGAGCAAAATCCTGTGGCTGCTCAGTTAACCCCCATAGCTGCACAATGGGGCAGGTGCTCCTGGATGAGCCAGACTGCTTGGCACCTCTTCTCTTCTCGAACTGAGCTGGGTAGGAAGTCAGCAGCACCTGCCAGGTCAGCTGAGCATCTGATCCTAGCCAGCAGCACCTGTGGAATCAGCTGAGGGTCCTCCTCACTCAAATAGAGGGGCTGGGCATGTGTTTCTGGCTGTTCACCCAGCTTCACTTGATAAGAGCAGAGAAGCCAGGCAGTTCAGAAATAGGCTAACAGTGACATACTGTTGCAGCTGAAGTGCCCGACCCCTCTTTACACTGGTTGGGCATCTAGTAGTACCTGAGATCCCACTCAGCCAACTCAGGGCCTACCCAGTTGAAGAGAGGCCAGGTAGTACCATCTCAGCCAGCAATGTCTGCTAAAGGCCCGATTCTTCTGGAGCCGAACTGCCCAGCCTTGTGCTCCAGCCGAGCAGGCCCTCAGCTGAGTTGGTAGGAACTGCTGGCTGCCCACCCAGCTTAAAGAGGGACAGTTAGGCTCCTGCAGAATCAAGCCTTCTGCCCCCTACATTTCCTCATTTATGACATGAACCTCAATTTTCAGTAGCTAACTTTCAGTAAAAAAAAAGGTGTGTGTCATGTTCAAGTATATAGTATGTCTATTTGATACCTTTTGGAATCTATTTGTAGATTAGTTAAAGGTGACTATCACAGCAGAGCAGGAATCAGTCGCATCTTCAGAGTATCATAGAATCAAAGGACCGGAAGGGACCTGTAAAATCATCAAGTCCAGCCCTCTGCCCTGAGCAGGAGGTTATATTGGCCTCAAACAAGCTCAACAAGGTGTTTATCCAGCCTCCTCTTGAACACCTCCAAGGATGGCAACTGCACCACCTCTGCTGGGAGCATGTTCCAGATTCTAGATACCCTTACAGAACGTTTTCCTTATGTCCAACCTAACTTTTTGTTTAATTAGCTTGTGCCCATTGGTCCTCGTCCTACCAAGGAGTGCCTTTCTGAACTGTTGCTCCCCTAGATCTTGGTGCTCACCCTTGACATACTTGTAGGCAGCTATCAAGTCACCTCTTAGTCTTTTGCTCAGACTGAACAAGCCCAGTTCCCGGAGTCTCTCCTTATCAGGCCTATTCTCCAGGCCCCTAATCATACAAGTGGCCCTTCTCTGTCCCCTTTTGAGCTTATCCACATCCTTCCTGAAGTGCAGTGCCCAGAACTGGACACAGTACTCCAGCTGTGGCCTCACCAATGCCAAATAGAGAGGAAGGAGCACTTCTTGAGATCTGTTCACAACACTTTGGCTGATAATTAAAATGGGGTGGAGGACATATGAGTGGAATGACTCAGGAGTAACTAGTGTGTTGAAAGACCCTCTTATCTTTCTGCATTAAATATTTAACATGTCACTGTAGGGGCAATTATTTAAAAACAAATCTTTTCAGGGATTTTTTTTAAAGGGTAGAGTTCATTGCAAGTATGTGTATAAAACGAGTTATCAGACTGAAGTAAAGCTGAGCTATTTGAAAACCACAGACGTTTTTTATGGTACATCTTATGTTACAGTAAGAAAGAATGCAACAATCCCTATTATTATAAAAAGAAAAGATATATATTGTTAATCATGCCTTGAAATTTTTTGAAAAAGCTGCTTTTTGTGTTCTTCATTGCTGTTATTTTGGAGACATGGAACACAAGTGAATGATTATATATAGCCAATGCTGGCTTGAGGCAGCGGCCCTTAAGGATGTTTCATTTAAGGTTTTGTGTTTGGTATATGAAGTAGCTAATGCTTGATTGCTGTAATTGCTTAAAATTCTTCTTTTGTTATATAACAAACATGTATGGACTTCTTTAACATCAATATTGGGTAAAGTAAATATTACTATTTTTAGTATTTTATTCTGTGCTTCTTGATATACTATTTTGTTGTTAGTTTTATTTTGAGACATATTAAATACAGTGAAAAGTGTCTCAGAAACTGTAAAAGCCAGAAACCTACTCAAGCCAGAAAATTTCTGTCCTAGTATGCCTTAGTGGGAATTCAGGATATTCAGTCTGTATAAGTTGGAAACTGTCTGATGGGGAAATGGAAAGAAAGGCAGGTTTCTAGCTTTTACTGTTTCCTTCTTTGACTGGTTTCACTGTCCTGTGGTGCTTTTTTGGCAGCAGGGATGTGCCAACCTGCAAGCTGCCCCTGCTTGCTGGTGCTGCCAGATCTCTGTTGCTGCTCAAGCTGCAGCAATGGGGAAAGAACAGCCTGCAAACTACCTCTGCCGTGGCTGATTGCATGGAGGTAAGGGTGACGGAGTTCCCTGCAAATGGCAGCAGGATCTGATTGGGCAGTGTAGACCTGCTGCGCCCCATTAACCTCTGCTGTTGGTTAGAGGGAGGCCCAGCTCCACAAGAAAAGTGTGTGAGAGAGAGAGAGAGAGAGAGAGGAGATGGGGACCTGACCTGCAGGCAGATATAGCCAGCTGAATGAGAGCTTAGTCCTCCATGCCACCCTAACCTCCTCTCCATCTCCCCCACCCTCTGCCCTCCCTGGTCCTCCCATTCTAGTGATTGGTGGTACCCTCTGCCCTCCCTGGTCCTCCCATTCTAGTGATTGGTGGTACTGGGCAGGGGGTTGCACTCCCCAACTGGTAGGCAGGCTATTAGGGTGCCAGCAGGAGAGAACAGCTCTGCTCCTCTTGTAAGACAGTAACCCATCTAAGCTGGAACTTTTTCCTGTTCTGGTGCAATTCTGTCTTCAACAGGTTTCACTGTGTATTCACACTTGGCTTTACATTGTTAGTTTCTAAGTCTGTTGGGCCTAGTCCTACTTCCAGTGAAATCAAGATTAGGTCTCTCACATGGCAGAATATAACAGAATGGGTGTGGAAAGAACAAAGTCTTCTAGTGCGGCATTTCATTGCTGAAGTAAAAGGTAGGGTATCATGCTTTTTTTCATTGATATATAACACCCACGTTTTAACACTGAATAGCTGGAAAAAGTACTTCGTTGTATATTTTTCACATCATGAAGGACAATGTCATAAATTGTAGTCCTGACTGTAAGGTATAGCAAAACATAGTGATCAAGATGTGTCATGCTGCGGCATTGGCAAGTAATACATGTATTAATTTTTTGTATTTGTTAAAATGATATGATATTTGTATTATACTCTTCTCTAAGGCCACTGCCTCAAGCCTTTCTCGCTCAAATTTAAGTTGGCTATCCTCTTGGACTGCAATTCATAAGATTATTTTTTACCTAATTCCAATTGCATAGGACCAGATTTTACCACACTATGTGAGTAGCAATTTATTCTGTTAATACCCCCAACTGAAATCAATAAAGTAAACCTGTATTCTAAGGACTATCTTAATCTTAAAGTATCATGGCTAAAAGCTACAGTAAATCAAAAGATAGAGTAAAGCCATGGATAAATGTGCTAAAGACTGAATATATTTGCCAAAAGAATCAATACAGTTACACCACAAAATCCAGATGCCATATATACTCATCTGGAAAAATAAACAGAGCAACATATGATTTCATATACAGTTTTAAACATTCTGTTTTTTCTTTATCCCCCCTCTTTAATGAAAGATCAGAATTGAACTCTCTGGGCTAGATTTAATGTTAAAAGCAAATGTAAATTGCTCTGTATTTTTTTATAAAATCAGTTAAAGCAGGACTAGGTGTAAGGTGTATGGCAGTTGATGTTTTGATGACTAAGAGGAGGGAATTCAATGACAAAATTTGTTTAGACTGGAAAAAAATAACTTAATAAGTATCTTTGGCTAGGTATAGACATTCAAAAAACCTGAAATGGAATCAATCTTAAGTTACACTTTTCTGTAAGCAGCATAATTTAGATTGGTAGTTAACAGAACACACATTCACCCTTTGGTGGAGGGGCAAATCTGAGACTAGGTTCTGCCATTTTTAAATGAGTCTATGAATGCCGGACTTGTTCTGTTATGGGTATAGACCAGTTTCCCATCACTTATACTGGTTAAATTCTGTACCTGGCCTTTGAGTCTACATGAAATTATCATCTTAATAACTTTTCTTTCAACTGATTTCTTAATTTGTATGGCTACAAATTCAGAGATTCT